TGACGCCAGTGAACAGCCCCTTCACGCCGCTCTCCTTCACCACCTCCGCCGCGACTCTCACGCGCCGCCCGGCGCTCCCGTCGCTCCCGCCGCACCCGCCGCTGCTTTCGCCGAACCTTCGCCCATCAGCTGAAAATGAGGAGCGAGAGAAATGGAGGTGGGTTGGAGTTTTGGGGAGTGGGTGCGACAGGAGGTGTCGCAGGAGGGTGAAAGCCTCCTGGCTAGTCATTAGGTCCCATGATGGGAGCTGGCTGGTGACGTGGACCAACCAATAATGCTCCATGACGTGGACTCCATTAGTTTGGAATTTATGTACTCACACAACATGGAGCATTATTGGTTGGTCCACGTGGAGCATTACTGGTTGGTCCACGTGGAACATTAGAGGTGACCACAATCTTATCGGAAAGCGAGCTAGTACCGACCTGCATGCGGACTTTAAGTAGGTCCAGCGGTGCGTCGCGACGCCGGCCACCATGGCAGCGACGCCGCCCTCCACGAACCCCTTCCACGCTGCGTCTGCGCGACACTCCTTGAGCACTGACTCAGAAACATGTGCAGCATACTAACCTGCATGCGGACTTTCAGCAAGTTCGAGGGGATGCGTCGCGACGCCGGCGACCATGGACGCGACGCCGCCTCCACGAACCCCTTCCACGCCGCGTTTTTCGTGGTGCGGCGCCGGCGGATGGTGCAGCTCGGGCCGCGTCTCGTGAACCATGCTGAATCACTATGAATGCCGACACTGGAGTGTATTAGAGTTGACTCAAATGCTAGCTCGCACTGGACTGCTGTCGACTCGACCAGCTGAGCTGTGCGGGTTGTATCAGCAGATTCTGGTCGGACCAAAGCGAGTCACTGAGGAGTTCCTTCGTTTCACTGTACAACGTCGATTGGAAGCTTTCGCTAAATGTCAGGAGCGGTTTTTTTTCTAAACGTATAGAACGCACGATATCGCACGATCCCAAATCGACTAGGCTGTGTTATCGCGTAAACCTTGTCTGGAGACTGAGCGGTTTCTCGGAAAACAGGTTCTCAGGAAGCTTGACGCGTAGTATCACGAGTGACAAGGCTTCGTGAAACTGTTGAACGAGAAGAGGAGCCAAAGAGCGAGATTCCTTGCCGTCCTGAACCAAGGGCTTCCCGAAGGGCAAGCAGGCGATACGTGACGGGACGAAGCGATGACTGAAAGGAGCTATGAAGCTATGAAACGATGAAAGTTAGGAACTTTACTGAAGTAATAAAAATGTGAAACCGGAGGATGGAAGAGGTCTGGAGCTAGGAATGAAATAATATAGCACAGCCCTTTGGCTGCAGCAGCAGCAGCACCTGCGGTATTCCCAAGGACGCCGCAGAACTGCTTGCAACAGCGTCGGTTCGGAAATCTCAAGGCTCTGTGAGTCAGTGGCCTGGAAACTCGGCTCGGCCTCTCGGCTCGGGCAGAACTTCGAACCTGATTGGCTTCTCCGGTACGGAATCGATCAGCCTGATTGGTTGGGAAGGATGACCCACACAGACCTGCTGCTTTTCAGGCGAGTCTTCCAGGTTCAAGGGGATTTTTGGCTGGCTGGCAGAACACGTGGAAATACTTGTGGTGACTGGTGCACCTCGAGAAGGTGAGGGGGCTGGCTGAAAAAGCTGCATCGCAGATCCGAGATTCTGGGAGAGGCTCGACAGGTTGGACGTACTCGTGGCTGTGTACGCGATCTCTCACTAACGAAGCCGTAGGAAGCATTGGTTAACTAGTGTTAAAACATGCCGGAATTGAAGACAAGATATATCGGCAAGAAGCTGAGTACAAACATATATTCGGCCTACCCACGACGCATGAAATTGGCAAGGTGGTCATCATCACCTTCATCCCCGTCCCCGGACAGCCTCACTGCTTCAATCTTTTGCCGAAGAACCTCCACCGCATCCAAAAACATTCTCTCTACAGATAAAGCTCCAGTCGATTCAACCGTGAAGATAAAGCTGTCCTGGCGCGGCCGAATATCCACCAGGCCAGGTCGACCCAAATCCTCTGCTTTGGTTATGACCTCGTCGTCATACGCATACAGCTCCGCATTCTCTACATAAACCTGAAATGTGGGAAGCAAGCATAGGGAGCCACGAGGTTTCAGTTTTCTTTGCTGACAGCCTAAATAAGCACTTCACTTGAAACTACAACACTTCCGAATCAAAACGGAACGAAACCCACGTGGTAGTCGGCATGTCTGCCTGGACCCACCTGTCCCTCGACTCACCTGTCCCTGGACCCTTGGACTCACCTGGCCATGCTCGTCAATCCCAAAGACTTGAGTCGGAGATGAATCCACCCACTCCCTTTTCTCCTCCAGGGTCATGCCATCCATGAGCGTGTGGTTGATGGTGATCTCGGGCTCGTACATGAACGTCACTGTAGCAGCCGGCGACCACTTGGCGTGATCCTTGCCCAGGCCCTTCCTGGCGATTGCACGGAGACGGATCTCCTGGCCTTTCCGCAGTTTCAGAATTACGATTCCTCTGAGAATGGGAAGTTGAGGGAGGGAGGGGGACAAGGAAGGCGAGGGATGTGTTGGAATTGGAGAACAGAATTTTGGATGCAGACGGCTGAACACTTGAACGTCACTGTAGCAGCAGGCGACCAATTGGCATAATCCTTGCCCAGGCCCTTGCGAGCGATCGCACGCAGGCAATCTCCTGGCCTTTACATCGTTTCAGGATTACAATTCCTCTAAGGTTACGGCAGGAAATGGGAGACGGGGGAGGAAGGGGAGGGGGGGGGAAGGGGAGTGGGGGGAGAGGGAAGGAGGGAGAGAAAGAATGAAAAAAAGGAGGGATTTGGGGGTCATGTGAATAGGGTTGAGGTTGTGGATGCGACGTGCTGAACGCACTGTGAAGGTTGATGAAAATCACAATAAACGGATGAAGGACGCTGAGGAAATTGGTAACTGCAGGGTATGAGGGGGAATGGGAGAAGAAAAGTGAATACCAGTTCCCTCCACTCCATCCACCAGGAACCTGTTCCCAACCAAATCCCTCCCAACCGCGCTTCATCCCATTCCTCGCCAAATCAAGCGACTTCCTTCTCCTCGCCGCCCCCCCCTTCGGTTCGTCTCGTGCAATCCACAGGAAGCACCGCTTCGTCACTGTCGTCACTCTACAACGGCACCAGGCCATGAGTAGACTTTTAAGGCGCCTAAAAGATAGACTTACTTCTCCTCGCCGTCCTCCCCCTCAATTCGTCTCGTGCAATCCACAGGAAGGACAGCGTCGTCGCTGTCGTCACTCGACGACGGCACCAGATCGTGAGTTGTAACGTCCAGCGTGTCATCTCCCGTACATTTGACGTTGAGCGTGAACTCCACTGCGCAGTACTCGCACGGGCCGTCGCCGTCGCACGCGTCGCAGTCGCGAGAGAACTTCATGGACATCGCACGGTCGCTGACCAATGGGATGAGGCCTAGTCTGTGTGCGATAAATTCGTCGTTTAGCACCGAAGTGTTATTCGCGATCTCGACGAGATCTATGGCGATGGTGGGCACTTCGGCCATCATGACTCGGCGAAGAACATTCGCGACGGACACGTCTGTTTCGCGAAGCTCGAATTTCAGGAACCGATCGCGAATTTCGCGAACGTGGAGCGTCGGCATGCGCTGGAGCGATGCGCCGTCGCCGGTCATGGGATCGTCGTCCATGGTGGTATCTTGGAGGAGCGACTGGCTCGGAGACTGTAACCTAATCTGCTACCAAACGCTACTCACGACTTGCCCGACACTCAATGAAACCTAAAATGCTGCTATTAAATTTACTAAAAACTTCACGAAGGAGGAGACCCCAGTGGCAATCGTCTCGGAGGATTAGGATGCAGAGCTGCCGCCGCGACTGCCTTCGAAGAAGCGTGGCGTCGTGAATCGCGATCGTGATAAGGAGACGCCTGAAGGAAACGAACTGAAGCAGCTTTGCATCAAATGAAACTGAGTGCCTGGCTGGCGCCTGGCTGGCTCAGACCTAAGAGCTCAGCTCCTAAGAAGCACGAGTGAAGAAGCATGAGTGAAGCCGTACGCCATACAAGGAATTGACGCGTTCGTGGAAACTTTTGATCTGAAACCCTTATGTCAATACTAAGAAATGTAACATTTTCCCAAACTTCCCCCGAAACCTCTCTCCCCTTTCCCCCAATCTCCCCACTTCCGCGCTTTCCTCTTCCCCCGCCCCCTCCCCTACTGTATTCTTCCCCCCGAGCCCCCTCTCACACACCCTCTTCGTTTTTAGGGTTTTCGGCCTCCCTCCCCCCCTTCCTTTCCTCTCTCTCTCTCTCTCTCTAGTTTCCTCGCTCCGTCTTTTTGGGCGAATCCAATTACCACCATGGCAGACAGGGGCGGATTTGGGCGCGGATTCGGCGACCGCGGCGACCGCGGCGGGCGCGGCGACAGGGGCCGCGGGGACAGGGGCCGCGGGCGGCGCAGACGCGCGGACGACAAGGAGGAGGCGTGGGTGCCAGTGACGAAGCTGGGCCGCCTCGTAAAGGAAGGGAAGATTAAGTCCATCGAGCACATTTATCTCTTCTCGCTGCCGATTAAGGAGCACCAGATCGTCGAGGCGTTTCTGCCGACGCTTAAGGACGAGGTGATGAAGATCATGCCGGTCCAGAAGCAGACGCGCGCCGGCCAGCGTACGCGTTTTAAGGCGTTCGTCGTCGTCGGCGACTGCAACGGGCACATCGGGCTCGGCGTGAAGTGCGCGAAGGAGGTCGCCACCGCCATCCGCGGCGCGCTCATCCTCGCGAAGCTCTCCGTGATTCCCGTGCGACGCGGCTACTGGGGTAACAAGATCGGAAAGCCGCACACGGTGCCTACTAAGGTCACCGGCAAGTGCGGCTCGGTCACCGTCCGCCTCGTCCCCGCGCCTCGCGGTTCCGGGATTGTCGCGGCGCGCGTGCCGAAGAAGGTTCTGCAGTTCGCGGGTATCGAGGACGTCTTTACCTCTTCCCGCGGCTCCACGAAGACTCTCGGAAACTTCGTGAAGGTGAGATTGAGTGGTGGCGGGAGAAGGGGAAGAGGAAGTGGATGGAGGGAGGGGATTACTGACCGTTGCATTTCCTGATAGGGGTTCTGGGTTTCTCTGCATTCGGGGCGACTTTTGAGTCGGCTCAAAAAGCCATGCTCTCTGATTCGACTAACAGATTCCACGTGGCCGAATCAGGTGCATACGCTCCGTGCACGTGGCAGCGGCTGGTTAGACGCTCCAAACATGTGTAGTGTAGAGGCTCCAGAGACACGTGGCAGAAGTACCTTCTAGACCTAGTCCTTGGCGCGACAGAACGAGCGTGATCTCGTAGTTTGTTTCTTGAGGCAGGAGCGAATGCGACAGCGTGGAGCGCGGATGGGATGGCACTTTGCGGCATATGGCTGGACCGTACTCTCGTAGTTGGTTTCTTGGGGAAGCGCCGATGGAGTAGTACTGTGGCTAGGATAGAATGATTTTTGAGGCGCCTCAAGAAGTACTGTGCCTAGGATAGAATTATTTTTGAGGCGCCTCAAGAAGTACTGTGGCTAGGAGGATAGAATGTTGGGAAGCGCCGATGGGGCATATGGCTGGACCGTACTACCGTAGTCTCGTAGTTGGTATCTTGGGGAAGCGCCGATGGAGAAGTGCTGTGGTAAGGATAGAATGTTGCGGCATATGGCTGGACCGTAGTGCCGGAGTCTCGTAGTCTGCTCCTTGGGGAAGCGCCGATGGGGCAGGAGCGCGGATAGGATGGCATGCTGCGGCTTAGGAAAGCATGGTAGTCCAGTGACGTACCCAGTGACGTACCCAGTGACAGGAGATTCCGTGCCGGTGGAAAGGTTTCGCGCTGTGGGTGCTCTTGAGGCTTTTGAGGCGCCTCAAAGGTTTCGCGCTGTGGGCGCCTGAGGAGTGTTAGCGAGCCAAGGGTGTTGGGCCGGCCGCCTGTTGACTGGCGCTCGTAGCACGACACGTTATGGCGGAGAGTCGATTTGTGGTGGTGCCGTAATTGCGGAGTGGTGGTTTATTGCTCAGAGCAGCTGGGCGTGGGAGAGCAGCCGAGCATGTGAGGTCTGGGTTAGCCGGGGAGACGTGTGGTAGCATGTGCGCAGGAAGAGACTTGCGCAGGGGGAGACCTCCGCAGGGGGAGACATGTGCAGTGGGAGACGTGCGCAGCGGGAGACGTGCGCACGAGGAGGGAGACGTGCGCAGGGGGAGACGTGCGCAGGGGGGAAGACGTGCACAGGGGGAGGGAGACGTGTGGTGGCACGTGAGCAGAGGGCAGCGGTCAGTAGGAACCAGGCAGGTGATGTGATGACGTGAGAATAGTCTACCTCAAAATTAGACGCTTTTGAGTCGACTCAAAAGCGTAGTGACACGTGAGCAGAGGGGAGCGGTCAGTAGGAGCCGGACAGGTGATGAGACGAGTGCATCCAGAGTACCAGGCCCAAGGCACGGTGAGGAGCCGAGCGAGACGAAACAAGAAATGCTCGTTGGTCTAATGCCCAAGTGTGCGCTCCAGACGCTCTAGATTTTCCATCTTCCATATTGGGCATCTTCCATATTGGGCATCTTCCATATTGGCTCTCCCCTGTCGTTTGGTGTCCTGATAATTGTTTTCTGTGTGCCCCTACTTTTTGCCGCCTCCCTTCTTTCGTGTGAGCTCCTGTGCCTCCACTCGCCGTCCACCTGGCACCTCCTCCCCCCCACATCCACGTGCTACTTAAAACCCAAACATTCCCCTCTGCCCCCAGTTTCCGCTTCTGGCGGGAGTCCTTCCCTGTGCTCATGTCCACCTGCATCCTGACCTAACCCTCTCAGGACACGCCACCTTGTCTGTTCCGCACTCCCAGCTTGTGGCACGCCACCTTTCCTTTCCGCCTCTCCTTGCATTCCCTTTCCTCACTCTTCCACCCCTCCTTTTGTCCCTCAGCCCACGCTTGCTTGTCTGCTCAACACATACGCCTTCTATTGCTATCCTCCCCACTCCCCCCCCCTCCCCCCCTCCTCTCTCTCCCCCCTTTCTCTATCTCGCCCCCTTGTCTCTCTCTCAGGCCGCGTTCGCCTGTCTGCTCATCTGTGCCTTCTCTCCCTTCCCCTCCCCCCTAATGCCTCAGGCCACGTTCGCCTGTCTGCTCAACACATACGCCTTCCTCACTCTCGACCTGTGGCACGGCACCACACCAAGTTCCCTTCCCTTACCTGTCTCCCCGCCCTCTCTTCTCCCAACCCCAACCCACCCCGCCCCCCTTTCTCGATCTCTCCCCCTTGTCTCTCAGGCCACGTTCGCCTGTCTGCTCAACACATACGCCTTCCTCACTCCGGACCTGTGGCACGCCACCAAGTTCACCAAGACGCCCTTCCAGGAGTTCACTGACTTCCTCGCCAAGCCTCACAAGCTCGCTCTGCCCGTTGCCATGCCCGATGCTTTCGACGCCCCCCCTCCCGCTGCCGCCGCTCCGGTTCCTGCCTTCTAGATGAGGTCGTCAGATACGAAGGGGCTGGTTTGTAGAATCAAGGTCCGAATGCACATGTTGGAATGATGGTGCTTTAAGTACAAGCTTGTCTCTTGATCTGTCTCCTCCCCCTCTCTCTCTAAACGCACGCCTCATTCACAAGCTAGATCACCAATTTCACCAAGACGCCCTTCCAGGAGTTCAGACTTCCCCGCCAAGCCTCACAAGCTCGCTGTCTGCTGCCATGCCCAACGACGTTGTGCCACCTGTCGTGGCTTGATTGGGTACATTGTTGGTGGGATTTGGGTGCAAGCAAAGCCGATGTTTCCTCCCTTAAGGGACACTTGCAGTTCAGTGTTGTTTGGTGGTTGGAACATGGACGGGGTGATGTCAATAGTGTTCATGAAAATGTTGCATTCTTGTGTTGTATGGTATATCAATCAGCACAAGACAAGAGGCTAGTTTGTTAGTGAAGTACTAGCTCTAGCTAGAAGTTGTGGGATTTAGGCGTGTGTAACTAGTGGGTGGAATACACGATGCGGCACGACATCGCAATGTTTCGCATAGAGAGCCAATGCTGACATCGCGAAACCCATCTCGATGAACAGTTGCTTCCATAGGTTCCAGGCTCCTGTCAGTCAGCAAAAAGTCAACACTCGGCTGCTGCTGTCCCTACAAAAATTCTCAACCTCATTTCCCCTTCAATTCGCGGCGATGGAGAAAAAGTTCTGTTGCGAAGAAACGACAGAATGACCAAGAAATTCTTCGCGACAGTTACGTGATTATGACCTTCAAGTGGCAAATTTGTAACGGGTTGTCGCCTTTTCCAACCAAGCTGTGGAACTGATGAGCCGCGCCTGAACCTCGACCTCAAACGAAACTCGACTTTACCAATTGCACGAAGAAATTCGATCCCAAAATGTTTCAGGTACATTGTGGTGTTTGTTGATAAGGTGAGTGTACTAGGGTATCTCTCGAGTTGGATGCATGAAAATATCCTGGATTGATTGGGGGGAAGTACTGTTTTGTGAAACCAAATTATCTTGAACATCTTAGCCACTAATTCCTTTTGTCGAGGATCCCCTCTGTGGCGCACCATGGACAGCCATCCCGCGCCATTTTCGTTTTGCGGTTGTGGATAGTCTGTCAGGCAGACTCCACGTCACCATCCCATTTTCCACCCCTCACGCAGAATGTTAAAATCCTGTATTCCCCCACTTCCCTCGCAGCCCTCCTGTCCTGGTTTGACTGGAGGCTACAGTATCTAGAAACAAGTGCCCCTTTCCGAGCCGTGCATTTCTCTGGTGCGAAACACATTCAGCCCCAACATCGGAGCGCGCATGTGTGGGTGAGGGGCGACTGGATTAGAATGTGAGGGCGCATGAAGGGAGCACGTGACAAGGGAAATAATCCGCCTCAGGCCGGTTCCTGCTGCCTTGCTCCGTTGTTAAAGCGTGTCCAAAGTGCTGCTGACATCCCATGACAGAACGAATCGTCGCCGTTAACACCAGAAAAAACGGGTTTCAACGGATGCGATTTGTTCAGTCATCCTGACATCTGCTGTCATGCGCTTACATAACACTTTAGACGCGCTCTTATAATTGCTTTACTCTCCATGCTTTCCTAGCCTTACCTTTCCAAGGACCAAAAAGCGTTGAGTCGGGCATTTGCATATGCGGCTAGATGAAGCCCGTCGTCGTCCCACGAAGACGCGTCCATTGCCTCAATCGGACTTTTACGAGCAGACCAGGCCAGACATAAATAGGCTGACATAAGCACGCAGTTTCGTCGGAACCTTCGAAAGGTGAATAATGCTGTATTCCCTACCTTCGCGCGATTGTGCTGTACTGTTGTATGTAGAGTCCCTCTTATGGCCATCATCCCCACCATCCCATTCCCACTTTCAAGCCGTCCTCGTCCGCAGCGGCGTGCATGCACGCCTACTGTCGGCAGTGCGGCTGGGGTCATGTCGTCAGTTACACCAGCATTACTTTCTCTTCTCTCCAATCACTTGTCAAGCTCGGCTCACACCGTACGCCCTCATCTCTCCAAGCGCCATTGCTTGTCAAGTAGTACTTGTAGTAAAACATCTTCTCGGCTCACACTTGTCAAGCTAGGCTCACACCGTACGTCCTCTTCTCTCCAAGTGCCATTGCACCGTACAGATATAACTGATCTCAGTTTTGTATGCATCCCCCTCTCGTAGTATACCCCCACGTCAGACACATTCCGTCAGAGAGAGCGTTCCCCTGACGGAGTCATTCCGCTATGGAGCGTATTTTCGAGCCGCAGAGTGTAGAATATCAAGCCTCGAACAGCATGCCGCTCTCCGACGCCGAAGATAACGGATTCCGTCTATTCGGACGGACAATTCAGATGTCGCAATCTTCAGCGCAAACGCTCACGCCACAGGAGATTTTCGTCCAGAAAGGTACGCAAGCAGTCGAGCCGTTGCAGTCAGCGAAGCCGACGGCACAATTGCCGCCGTCGACGCCGCCGCTCCCGCTGCCGCCGCCGCAGCAGCAGGCCGCGGCGCTTCCGTGCCCGCGGTGCGCGAGCCGCGACACCAAGTTCTGCTACTACAACAACTACAACGTGAACCAGCCGCGCCACTTTTGCCGCGCGTGCCACCGCTACTGGACCGCGGGGGGCTCCCTGCGCAACGTCCCCGTGGGGTCCGGTCGGCGCGGCAGGGGGAAGCAGTCAGCAGCTCAAAGCGCGGGATTACCGCCGGCGGCGGCGGTGGCTACGGCGGCAGTCACTACAGGATCGGATGAGCCAGTGCGACGAAGGATGAAGCCGCATAATCAACAGAATCAACTTGAATCTGTCGAACAGCCTGTTGATGATTCTGAGAATCATCAACCGACGGAGCGTCCCCAGGAGCAGCCGAGCCAGCGGCGGATGCGCCTGACGAAGCAGCGACGATCGCTCTCAGATGGCGACTCCGAGCTCTCTGAAGGGTGCACGCACCAGTCGTTCCCCATACACGATGCCGGTCCGGAATCTGCAGCAGCAGCTACTGCCGGTGCTCCGAGGTGCGATAGCAAGGGCGAGAGCCGTAAAGGCAACAGCGCCAGTTATCGCAGAGGCGGCAGCATCAACTACAGTGCAGAGTATTACAGTGCGGTTGTAACGGGGAGCTCCTCAGGCCCGTCCTTGGAGCATGGCAGCCCGTCAGTCGGCCCCACATCCTGCCGTATACTTGACATCCGGGTCACTCCTGACTTGAACCTGCTAGCACAGGATGGGACGTCGAGTGCATACCATCCTGAGCTTGATTCGGGAAGAGGAGATGCTTGTATGGAGGGCTGCGGTGCAACAGCAGTGGCTCCGCCGCTGGCATCCACATTCCTCCTGCCCCCGTCTCAGATATCCCTTGTCCTGTCCCAAGCTTCATCCAACGCATCCGCACCTGCTGCGACTTTCCCCATCCCGCCTCTCTCGCTGCCGCCGTCTGCAGTATCGCCTGCAGTGTCGTCTGCAGCCTTGTCGACAGCAGCACTAGCTGCGCTGGATTCAAACGCTCTTGCTCAACTCTCCATGCATCCCTCCACTGCCGCATCTGCGTTGCCTTGGCTGGCTGCTGCACCGCTCAGTCCCAGAGCTCTCAGCACAATAGCTTCCAATGCCATGCCTCTCAACTCTATACCTCGCAGTGCCGCAACTGCCAATGCAGCGCCTCCCAATTTCACTCCTCTCAGCATTGCGCCTGTGAGTAATGCGCTCATTGACGGAGCATTGATTGATAGCTCAGTCCAGGCCAAAAGTTTCAGCCATCTGCTGGCACCTTTTCTCGCCCTCAACCCTCCCAAGGCTGCGGCTGCGCTTGCTACGGTAATGTCTATGTTACCCAAGCCTGCAGTGGCAGCAAAGGTACTGTCAATAATGGATGGACAACAGGATTTTCGTATGTCGCTGGGGCTAGGTGACAACTCAAGAAAGCGAGCACACTCAAGTGCATTTGCATTTATGGATGGTTCAGACGATTGCTCTACAGCTGTTTGACAGCAGGAAACAATTTATGAATTGACTGGTTTTCTCATTGTGTTGCTAATGCATTCTTATTGCCTTGGAATATACATAATTATTTTGTTACCTTTGTGTTTGACTGTCCCTTCAGTACGTTAAGCACTCAATAAAATTCACAAGTGTACTGGTGAGTGAAAACCTGCGAGCCTTTATCCACGTTGCTCTAAGTGGGTTGCGAATCATGATGAGCTGGTACTGTAGTTATGTTGTCGTTCCACACATCACCTAGGCCAGGTCGACTGTTCAGTCTCCTCCACGAGAATGCTCCAGCACCCATCTGATGTGCTGTCAGGAGGAAACAAGCAGGCTTCCAATCGAGCTGCGTGTCGGTGAGACACTTTTCCCAATCGGCTCGTTGTGGGCCGTTGGATTTACATCCCGTGCGAGCAGGCGTGTAGGCTCTTGGTCGTGCAACCTGGATAGAATCACGTTGTTGTCACCCTTCTTTCTCATTGAAGATACTGTAGTACTTTTCGTCGGCGCGTAGCCCCATGGGTTGCAACAAGGGCCGTAGGAGGGTGTATCGACCGGATTACTCCCGAGGTGTAGGGCCAGATTTTGACAACATCCGTTTAGGGTGGAACTCGCTGGGAACCTGCAAAAGGTAGACAAGGGCTGTCGAACACGTAATAAACGCAGATTGAAACGGAACGAAAAGCGTTGCCGAAGTTTAGTAAATTAGGATGGGGTTACCCATTTCGACGGGGATAGCATGAATCGATTGTTTGGGTCACACTGAACTGAAACCGTGCTGCTGGCGAATTTTGTCTAGAGCGAGTTGATGGTGGCGAAGTTCACCCACTTCTCGCCATGCCCATTGCGAGCCAACGACCTTTCGCCAACCGACTGGCCCAGAAAGTTGCGAGTTTCGCCAGACCTTTCGCCAAAGTCGATTCCCCAACCCCAACACCGCAGGCAGGCCCAACTGCTCCTCCCCCTGGACCTTCTTCAAGCCATGGGTTCCCAGAAACTAGAAAGATCCGGCATTCCCTAGGCTCGCAGAACCCGTGTTCCGAGCGTTCTTTTCTAGTACAGTAATTTATCCACCTTAAGACCTCGTACGTCGGGTTGAAGCTGCAGCCAGTAGGCCGACTTTCGACCATGCTAGGGTAAGGCGTAGCTTGGCGTCTGGTTTGTGTGGTTCCGAACCGGCGTGTACTAATGAGTTCCCTTCAGCCTCCCGCTTCGAAGAACGTCATCTTCGTTACGTATGAACACTGCGTTTAATGGCTCCTCCTTTATTAACTAGAGCTTGGGTTTTCTTAGCAGTAACGTTTTTGTGCTTCACAGCCGACCCCTGTGACTGCGACAGCGTAACGTTTTATCGGTTTTCCGACCGGCTTATTTTTGCGGGTACCGCTCGTTTGAAGAACGTGATTCCCCCTCCACCGTCTACTAGCACAGCATCACGTGTCAATTCCCCGATAGAAGGTCAGTCGCTAAAAGGACCCAGTACAGTGAAATGGCAGCAGCAGTCCGGGAGTCAGAATCAGTCGCCGGAGTCAACACAGTCATCTCCGTCAGACAGTCAGACTTTGCAGCCCCCGATAGAATCACAACTGGAGGGCTCGCTACAGTCAGCAGCACCTACCTCCGCTCCTCAGCAATCAGTGGAGCAGCAGCAGAGTCAGGTGACGACAGCAAATCAAACGGAAACGCAGCAGGAGATGCCGGTGTATGGCGGGGAGGGGGTACTGGCGGAGGAGGTGGAGGAGAGGGAGGAGGTGCCTCTGGAGAACTGGCGGGTGCGAGAACAGCAGCGTCGAACGCGGGGGCTGTACGAGCACCTCCTGACCGTCGATCTAGAGCAGCGAATCCAGGCTCGCGAAGCCGCTCTGCGACGGTTCGCAGGGGGAGCTTCAGGCGTCGCCAGCACTGTTGCAGCCGACGGGATTGGCGATCAGGCGAACATTTATCTTCCTCGCGATGTCAGTCCAGCCCTCCTTGCGTGCAGCTCAGCCGAAATGATTGCTGGCGTCGTGTCTTTAACTTCTACGAGGAATCTAGCGATGCGCCTGGAAAGTCGGCCAGACGACTTTATAACCGCGTATCTTCCCCTGGCGAATTAAGCCTAGTTATCCCTCGCGCCTAACGAGTCCAAACTCCGTGATTTGTCTATCTGTCCCCTTTTACAGAACAACGCGTTAAAAAGGGCAAGCACGGCGGGGGTGGCGGCTGTACAGTACACGGAGGCGACGCCCTTAGGCGTGATCGACAGCCAGCCCAAGTTGGGCTTTAAGGGCATCACTGGGAAGCGGCAGCTGGTGGCAAGCGTGAATAGCGCCTACAGCGGTACTCAGGTGAGACGATGGTGCCTACAGCGGTACTCAGGTGTGTTTGCATATAGTGGATTCCGACTTAAAACCCCCATCTCATATCTCCAAACCTTCTAGTGTTGAATGAGAACAAAGGCCTGATTGGTCGACGAGGGACGAAATTATAGGTGGTTTGAGGCGAGGGGTGACGAATTCAGAAATTTCGTACGAGTTTGCTGTACCAAAAATCGGATCTGGCAGAGTCGCACAAACAGACGCGAGGGGGCCTCCTCTCTCGCACGGTAGCCCTCCTCTCTCGCCCGGTAGGCCTCCTCTCTCGCCCGGTAGGCCTCCTCTCTCGTCCGGTAGGCCTTCTCTCTCGACCGGTAGGCCTTCTCTCTCTCCCGGTAGGCCTTCTCTCTCGCCCGATAGTCCTCCTCTCTCGCCCGGTAGCCCTCCTCCCTCGCCCGGTAGCCTCTCTCGCCCGGTAGGCCTCCTCTCTCGCCCGGTAGGCCTCCTCTCTCGCCCGGTAGGCCTCCTCTCTCGCCCTGTAGGCCTGCTCTCTCGCCCGGTAGGCCTGCTCTCTCGCCCGGTAGACCTCCCCTCTCGCCCGGTGGGCCTCCCCTCTCGCCCCGTGGGCCTCCTCTCTCGCCCGGTAGGCCTCCTCTCTCGCCCCGTAGGCCTCCTCTCTCGCCCGGTAGGCCTCTTCTCTTGCCCCGTAGGCCTCCTCTCTTGCCCGGTGGGGTTTGGCCAGTTTTTGCGTCGCAGAAACCTGGGTATGCCCCAGGGTTGCACTGCATTCTCATAATTGAGAGCACCTTTTAGACTTGGTTTTCCCCTGCGTCGGCGACCCTGCAATTTCACTGTTACGTTTGGTTGAACGTGGGGCGCATCGCACACCAGACCTCAGTTTGGTTGTCGCCCCCGTCAATTTTTGACGAGGCTGGCTTTTACAGCCCATCAGCGCACAGCAAAACTCCTCCCAAGCCAATTCAACCCAACCTTCGAAACAGTCTGTCGCGCAGCTCGTAACCCTGTTCCAAACCTTTTATACTTGAACTGCAGCCTGAAATATGATATTCGGGCTTTAAGAGTGATGTGCACCTAACATTGTCACTAAGTTGGGCTTTTATAACACTTGAAAGCGACAGCTCCTGGTTGCTGGAGTCAACAGTGCCTACAGCGGTATTCAGGTGTGTTAGCGTTTTTTCTCAAGATCCAACTTACCTCATGGGTCAATAAGCCCAACATCATATTCTCATGTCGCCCCAATGCAACCATCTCATCCCTACCCTTCCGGACTCGAAACCACACTTCGAGTTTTGAGACGTCTCAAAACCCAGATGCGTCTGTCTCATCCCCACGCCTCCTTCCTCCGTCCCCGCAGCTCGACCCGTGGATTCCTGACTCCGCAGTGTGCGTTGGGAGATTGTTTGTGAGTCGACTCAAAAGGAGATCCGTCTCATCCCTGCCCCCTCCTTCCCGCCAGTTCGACCCATGGATTCCTGACTCCGCCGTCTGCGTTGGGAGATTGTACATCGTGCAGATAGTCAACTATGGTGAGGGATGCAGTGCGGTGCTGCTGCGAGGTGCAGTGCTGTGCAGTACATTGCGCTTGGCACAGTAGGAGGTCAAATTTCGCTTCCTTTAACCCCATTCGGGCACTCCACTTTCTGTCCCACCCACGGACCTTTCAGCCGTCAGTTTCAGTTTCTTTTTCTTTGTATTTTTCTGTTTCTGTGGCGCTCTTGCTCGCCTGCTGCAGCCATTGTGATCTACAACAAGCGAGGGCGGATAGTGCGCCAGCCCCAGCCGCTCAACGAGGTATGCTGGTGCTGCTGCCGCCACCCACGAGGTATGCTGGTGCTGCTGCCGCCACCCACGAGGTATGCTGCTGCTGCTGCCGCCACCCACGAGGTATGCTGCTGCTGCTGCCGCCACCCATGAGGTATGCTGGTGCTGCTGCCGCCACCCACGAGGTATGCTGGTGCTGCTGCCGCCACCCACGAGGTATGCTGGTGCTGCTGCCGCCACCCACAAGGTATGCTGGTGCTGCTGCCGTCACCCACGAGGTTTGCTGCTGCTGTTTCGGTTCCCTTCGCTGCTGCTGCAGCCGTTGTGATCTACAACAAGCGAGGGCGGTCAGTGCGCCAGCCCCAGCCACTCAATGAGGTATGCTCGCAAAAGCAGATGACCTTTTTCCTCTCTTTTTTTTCACGCACACAGTCCCCATTACCCCGTCTCCGGTCTGTGCCTCCTTCCCCTCGCTCCCAATCCCCAGGTGATTTTTGAGTCGACTAAAAAATCACCTCGCTCCCAATCCCCTTTTCTCTTCTCTACTCTCCCTCATCACTCCCCTCTTTCCCCTCGGAACTCCCCCCCTGCCACCCTTTCCCCATGTTCAAAGCACTGTCCGGCTGTTTCGGATCCAAGCCGGCCGAGCGACTGCTGTGCTCTGCTGAGCTGACTCCCCTTCTCTCTGCTCTGCTGTGTCAAACCGACCCCCTCTCCCACGTTTGCCGCCCAGTTTTTTGGAGTGATGCGGGCCAACTCCACCCGTCCGGGCGACGTCCCTCATGTATCTGCGTTGACCCTTCTCTCTTCCCGCGCCTCTGCTCTTCCTCCCTCTCCGCCGATCCCAGTTCTTTGGGGTGATGCGGGCCAACTCCACCCGTCCGGGTGACTTCCTCCCCCACTCTCCCATGAGTCATTCGTCCATCCCACCTCCCCCCCTCTCCCCCCTCTTGCCCGCAACCCTCCCTCCCTCCCCTCCCCCCCCATCCCAGTTCTTTGGAGTGATGCCGGCCAACTCCACCCGTCCGGGCGACTTTATCAACAAGGCCACGTGCGTCTTTGACGCCACGTCAGGCCGGTTCTTCCTCGCCGCTGCTTGGCTGGTGAGTGCTTGGCTGGTCAGTGATGTGCTTGCGCTCTTTTACCCTACACGCTGCTTGCTACTCAGTGCTTGCCAGCGTGACTTCATCAACAAGGCCACGTGTGTCTATGTGGGCATGGGATATGTGGGCAAGGGAGATGTGGGCATGGGATATGTGGGCATGGGATATGTGGGCAAGGGAAATGTGGGCAGGGGAGATGTGGGCAAGGGAGATGTGGGCAAGGGATATGTGGGCAAGGGAGATGTGGGCATGGGATATGTGGGCATGGGATATGTGGGCATGGGATGCTGCTGCTTGGCTGGTCAGTGGGCCCTTCCTCCTCCCTGCGTGTCCTCCCTGCACACGCGTTGCTGCACGCTGCTTGCCTGCCTGATTCCAGCATGAAGTGTGTGTTTGTGGTGGCTGCTACGTGCTTTGCCTGGCCGTTGCCAGATTTGCTATTCAAGCCTGCATACAGCATTCTCCCGATTCAAGTGCAGTCCGTCTCTCCCTCCTGTCCTCCGGAGTCGGTTGGTTATTACAACATGTGGGACCGGCAACATGCGGCAACCACACGGGCCCCGGCAACCACACGGACGAAAGGGGCCCCCCTTTCAACCGAGGATTGCCCCTCTTGCCTCCCATCCCTCCCAGTCGGGTGGTTACCGCAACAAGTGGGACCGGTTTGGGCAGACGAGGCGGAACGCGGATGGGAGCACATCGGGGTACGGCATTGTGGTGGCGGCCTCCTCCTTCCTCACGCCCATGATGGCGTGGAACGTCTACTTCATCCCCTCCAGGTACTGTACAGTCTAGCTCTTCGCCCTTGCTCGCCATTCTTCATCCCCTCGAGGTGCAGCGACTTGATGCCTTCATCCCCTCGAGGTGCAGTACAGTCTAGCTCTTCGCCCTTGCCCGCCATTCATCCCCTCCAGGTGCAGCGTTCTTCATTTCTGGATGCGTTTTGAGTCGACTGGATTCCCAGTGGATTCCCAGTGGATTCCCAGTGGATACATGCACTCAAAATACACCCTTTTCCCAATGGATTCCCAATGGATTCCCAATGGATCTGCTCATGTGATTCGGGTGATGCCATCATGATTCGGGTGATGCCATCATGATTCGGGTGATGCCATCATGATTCGGGTGATGCCATCATGATTCGGGTGATGCCATCATGATTCGGGTGATGCCATCATTCTCGTCATCCTCCGGTGATGGCATGGAACGTCGCCCCGATTCCTCTAGGGCTGCTTCCTCCTCCCTCACCCCCCATGATGACGTGGAACGTCTACTTCATCCCCTCCAGGTGCAACAGTCAGGTTTAGGTGATATAGTACATACATGCGCTTATATATGTAGCGCTTATATATATTCTACAATGGCCAGCTTCCTCCTCCACCCCCATGATGGCATGGGATGTCTTCGCCATCCCTTCCATGCACAGCAGTCACTTTGGTATGCATCGTGCACATATGCACATGCATATTTGCTCGCCATTACGCCTATGATGATCTGGGGTGTCGTCCTCATTCCCTCGGGGTACGGCTGGCTGTGTGTGGCTTAGATCACAAGATTCTAAAGGTTAGAGGAAGCCCCAGATGTCCGTTCTTACCCCCATGACGACCTGGATGTCCGTTCTTACCCCATGACGACCTGGATGTCCGAGTAGGAGATACCCCGGCAGGGTATACTGGGGGGCCACCCCTCGCATCACTGTATCAACCCATGCTTTCTATATGCTCCCGGCTTCCCTCCTTGCAGCAACGACGGTGTGAAATCGCACAACGACACGGGCCCCCCTCTCAGATACCCCAGCAGGGTGCACGGGGGGCCACCCCTCGCATCACTGTAATCAAGCCTGTGCTGTACCATATTTCCCCTTTCGCCCTGCTCCACACTCCTTCCCCACAGCAACGACGGGGTGAAGTCACACAACGACACGGGGCCCCCTCTCAGATACCCCGGCCGGGTGTATTGGGGGGCCACGCCTCGCATCACGGTGGACCGTTTTGGCGTGTACCTGAGCACGCGGCAGTATGCCATGCAGGGGAAGCTGGGGAGATTCGTGGGCAGCAATATCTAGTGAGTACCTCTTCTTTCAAGGGTCAAAACAGCAGCATGGAGTGGGATGGGGAAGGACGGGGGGGGGGGGTGGGGAGGGAAGGCACTCCTTGCATCACTGTGGACCGTTATGGCGTGTACCTGAGCACGCGGTAGTATGCCATGCAGGGGAAGCTGGGGAGATTCGTGGCCAGCAACATATAGGAGTACGAGGTGGGGAGGAGAGAGGGGGAAGGGGGGAGGGAAAGAAGAAGGGATGGGGGCCACACATCGCATCACGGTGGACCGTTTTGTCGTTTACCTGATCACGAGGCAGTATGCCATGCAGGGGAAGCTGGGCAGGTTCGTCGGCAGCAATATCTAGTGAGTGGCATGTTGATTTCAAAGGGCAGATCAGCCATGTGTGCTGGGAGGGGAAAGGGGGGGAGCAAAACCTCGCATCACTGTGGACCGTTTTGGCGTTTACCTGAGCACGAGGCAGTATGCCATGCAGTGCGAGGTGGGGAGATTTGTGCAATATCTAGTGAGTATAGTGCGCTTCGCCATCCCATGCTCAACTACAACAGCAGCTTCCCCGTCTTCTGCCTCGGGTCTCAATCCCTCACCTCCCCATGTCACCAGTCACCCCACCAAATCACCCCCCTTCCATCCACCCCCACCCACTCCAGTACCATCCACGAGCCCAAGCTGTATCTGCGTTCCTCCAAGCGCATAGTGCGCTTCGCCATCCCCATGATCGACTACAACAGCTTCCCTGCCTTCGGCTCACCTCGCCTCTCACACCACCACCAACCCATCCCCCCCTCCCCCCCCCCCCCCTTTCAGTGCCATCCACAAGCCCAAGCTGTATCTCCGCTCGTCCAAGCGCATAGTGCGCTTCGCCATCCCTATGATCAACTACAACAGCTTCCCCGTCTTCGGCCTCGAGCCCCAATCCCCCCGCGTGACCAGCCAGTACGGCTTCCGCGGGCACGACACTGTCTTCTTTGGCTGCATCGACATCTCCTTCACCTTCCCTCTCCCCCACACCTCCCTCGCACTCTGGTCCCTCTCCGACACCTCCTCTCTCATGCTCCCACACCCCACTATTCGCCTCCGATATTCCGTCATCACCACCCCGGCTTACTATGATTCTGACTATGCGAAGCAGAAGGCGGGGCCGCCGCCGTATGATACTCCGCAGGACGTGGTGCCGCCCACGTCCACGTCTGTAGCGTGGTTCAAGGGGCACGTGTGGATGGCGTTTCCCTCGGGCTACAGCCTGGACCCCACGTCCGTGCCGTCTGTAGCGCTGGTGAAGCTCCGGCCGTTCCTGCGGTTGAAGAAGAAAAAGACGTTCCCAACCCTGGTGAAGAAGTTTGGGATCTATGGGGTCCCGGGGCAGAGCCTGCTGAGCCCTGTGATTGGCTTCAACAGGTCAGTGCGGGTTTCGGGTTGAGGCATGCGTGAAGAAGCATCAGGAGGTGGGTGTGTGCGTGCTGGGGTGCTTGCAGTGTCCGTCTGTTATATTCTTCGGCATCTACGGGGTGCCGGGGCAGAGCCTGCTGAGCCCTGTGATTGGCTTCAACAGGTTAGTGTGGTTGGGAAACATGCTCGTTGAGCATTATTATTTTCTGTGGGTCATAACTGTTATCTTAACAACCTGTTACCTGCTTGCCTTTTCTCCTCTTTCCTTCCTCTCTGCCCTACCTGCCCTACTTACTTCTCCCTTACCCGCAGCAAGGGCCGGGGCATTCTTGCTGCAACGCTGATTGGGTCTGAGTACTTCCCCACAGCCGCTTATCTTCGCATCAACCAGAAGGGAGTTCCGGATAAAAGTATTTTTGCCGTTGGGCCTGGCCAAGCCCCGCTTGAGGTTTTGTCTGGGACGTATGCGGCCTTCGGGGAGACTCAATCGATAAGTGTAGATACTGGGGGGAATGCGTGGGCTACATTGCAGTATGTTTCTGGTAAGGAGCGCACTAACGAGGCTAACTGGGCCACTTTCATGTTCAAGGTGGTTGATAAAAAGTAGGCAAATGTCGTCCATGTGTCCAATCCAATGCTTTATAGTTATATGCAACGGCTACTCAGGTATCTATCGAGGTTTTGTTGGAGTTGGGACCTAATCAACTGCATCATTTCCAACATATTGAAATAAGCATGGTGTGAATGAAATGGCTTAAAGCATTGAAGGCAAAAATTGTGTAAGTTGAGCTCAATTGTAAATCATTTTAGAGGGACCATCATATCAGACGGGCTACACCGCCATTGGAATTATTCAGCCGTTGCTCGTCAGGCAAGCCGAGAGAAGGCTTTGTCGCCTCGGCTTGGAGCCAGATGTGGCGCGGGAACTGGCGGCAATTTCAATGTTGGTTAGCGGCTCGATTACCCTGTTCGCGTCAAGCCAATGGCGGTGCGAGTGCCCTGCTGCGCCTCGACATTTTCAGTTTCACCTGCCCGAGCTCAGACCTCAACACCAAGCATCACTGCTGGTCGCCAGCCAATCTCAAATTTCGACCATCTCCACTAAACTCGACAAACCCGGAATTTCTTTCGTTCCTGTCCGCATCGCCTGGCTTGAATTGAAACGCTTCACCTCATGACTCTGCGATAGCGGCCCCGTCGCATGTCCTTTCCCGTTGAGCAAGCGCGTGGATAGCTTAGCCCGGCCTGTGCGACGCCTTCTTTCCAGAACCCGTTCCCATGTGCGCGCTGTACGACAGCTACAGCAATTTCGCAGGGGCATCAGGAGCATCGCATTTGCGTTTGATGACGTCAACGGCGACCAGACGACACTGGCCTGCGCCCTACTGTGTTTTGTTCGGGCTGTTCTCTTCTTCCTGGCCCATCCCTCCCATTTTTCCTCCCCATCGAGATTGCCTACTCTCCTCCCCCATGTGCCTCGAGATTGTCTGTCAGACTCTTCCCTGGTGAACTGGCTCTTGCTTGCTCAAATGGTTGTTGGCGGAAACAGTGTCGCCTGAACAAAGCATGTGAAAGCCATGCTCAGATTCCTGACCCACGCAGGAACATTTCTGCTTGGAATTGGTCACTGAAACGGTAGCAAGTCCTTCGATACCTCGGCGTCTTGAGCCGAGTGGGATGTAGGAGGTTAGGACATTCGACTAGGAACGGAGATGCCAGCCATTATGGAGCGAGTCTAACGACGCATCGCGGCTCGAATTTCCCCCGTGCAAAGCAGCCATACTATCTGTATGGAGAATATATTTTCCGCTCGATCTGTCCTTTCGAGCCTCGCATGTCACGGAAGTCTCGTTAATTTATAACAACCTGGTGTGGGAGAACGCCTTCAGAGAATAAACAATCGGAAGTGCTGCTGTAGCTGAGAAGTAGTCTAGTAGTCTAAGCGTATTTCATCGATTCCTTCAGCAGCGGAGGCAGCGGCATTATGGCGAGGGTAGACCCCCTTCCGCCAGAGGAGGACGTCAGACCGCGGCGAATGCCCAGTCCGCTCCTCCGTCGCAAAAAGGCCGGCTCCTCTCCTCAACGGAAATCATCATCGCCATCACCGTTACCGTTACCGTCATCGTCAACCCCCTCTGATGGAACCAAACCATTTCTCCGCCGCTCCCATTCGTTTTCTCAGTCCGAAGCCCCCCCGAGAACCGTACCCGTTTCTGACGCTCCCCCCCAAATGCTAGGATCTCCAGGGAGGCGGTCAGTGGAAAGTATTTTTATGCTGTCTGCCGGCCGGCTCCGGTCGTCCAGAAACCGTCAGGAAAAGTCAAATCCTCATCCGATTCTGTCGGCTAGCCGGTCAGCGTCGACTGCGTTCACAGCTGCGACAGCTTCTACCAGCTCTATAACTGGCGCCGTTGACTTTTCTGCCTATCGGCCAGTAACTCGGACGGCTGACCGGCAGCATGAGAGCATCTCTGTAACCGCGAGCACGCCAGAAATAGGAGGCTCGCATTTTCGCCTAGGGAATCCGTTTCGCCGGCGAAACAAGGAGAATATCGCCTTGCCCAGCGGCGACGCAAATTCACATGCGTGCGACGACGATGTTACCACCACAATTCCAGTTCCCATTCCGTCCGCTGCTGGTAACCCTACCAGTCGCAGAGGTTCCAGCCCCCATCGCAGTAGGTCGCGAATGTCGTCTCCGTATGACCCGAGGAAAGGGGACAGTGTTGCAGAGGAGCAGCCAATAGAGAGGCGAGGGTCGCCAGAAGCGGCGGCGATTGCGGAAGATCGAGGAGCATCCTCGAGATGCTCAATCGACGGCGGAGATGGGGGTAAACAAATCAACGGCGTGAATCAGGTTGCATCGCGTTCTAGCAGCGGAAAGTCGGAGGCCCGCGCGGAAAGCCTTCCCCGTAGCGGAAGCGGAAGCTTGCGCGGGGAGACGGGGCTTGTGCGGAGCGGAAGCCGGGGGGAGGATTTGGCGGCGCAAGGAAATTCGCTGGCGCTGGTCCCCGCAGGCGGAGGGTGGGGGGAGATGCTGAGCCAGGCGCGGGGCGGAGCGGGGGGCCTGATGATGCCGGCCGCAGTGGCGCAAGAGAGCTCGGACGTCGTGATGGGGATACTGTGGAAGTGGGTCAACCTGGGGCGCGGATGGGGCATGCGGCTATTCGTCCTGGAAGGAGTAAGGAGTATTCCGTTCTCTTTCGTGTTGCTTCCGCCCTCTTTCTTGCGTCGTCCGTCCTCGCTCCAACCACCATATCTACTCCCCACCCAGTCCCGTCCACTTCTATTCAAACGCACGCAGGCTTACCCTTCCGTCAGCTGTCTGCCTGCCTCCCCCAATGCCCATTCGTTATCTTGTCCCATTCAACCCCTTCTTTCTCCCCACGCACCCCCCTCTCTCCCGCCCTCGTCAGGATATCCTCTCGTTCTTCAAATTGGACGGTCCAGATAAGGCCATCGTGCTTCATTCAACCCCCTCCTTCCCCCCATGCGTACCCCCCGGTTCCGGCAGGGCATTCTTTCCTTCTTCAAATTGGACGGTCCAGATAAGGCCATCGTGCTGCACGAGCTGCAGCGGCGGCCGGGCGCGCGGCTGATCGGCGACGAGATCCGTCGCTACGTGCGAATCGAGCGAGAGAATGGCGTGCTGGCGACGTCGCTCGGCGTGCTGGGCGACAGAACGCCGCACGGGCAGATCGAGCTCCACGTGTCCACCATCCGCGCAAGCACGACGGACAACCGAAAGTTTTACGTGTTCGGGCACCGGACGCTGGGGCTAAGAACAGAGTCTAAAGCGGGGCGTGCGCTCTGGATGGAAGCCATAGAAAACGCGCGCGTGAGACTAATCAAGAGCCTGCACGCGGCGCCGAATAAGGTCGACGTGTCGGCACACGTGTGCTTCGACGCGGTTAGGGCTTACATGCAGCGGAACGGGGTGGAAGAGGAGATTATAAGCGGCGTGGAGGAGATGGTTAGGCGGAAAATGGTGGTCCGGCTGGAGACTAAGTTAAGGGAGGAGCAGAGGAAGCGGCTGCAGCTGCTGACGCTGCTGCGGCAGCTTGAGGCGGAGAAGGTGGAGCTGGAAACGGCGGTGGTTGACGAAAAGAGGCAGCAGGGGCAACCCAGCAACAGCACCATTCTCTGTAAGTGTATGACTAGGCTACGTTGGGAGACGATGGCTATATCTTTTGAGGCGCCTCAAAAGTTGAGTGTGTGACTAGGCTACGTTGGGAGACGATGGCTATATCGCCCGTGTGGCAGTCCGTCAGTGCTCTGATGGTGAGTTCAAGCGGAGAAGGTGGAGCTGGAAGCGGGGCACTATGAGGGAGCCATGGCTCAGCCCCACTCATCTTCGCACCCTTCCCACCTCCTCCCCCTCATACCCCCCCGACCCACACTCCACTCAGTGGGCGAAGAGGACGACGACGCGGACAGTACGTTTGACGAGGACGACGACAACGAGGGGGATGACTCAGACCCACTCATCTCACCACTCTTACCATCTTCCTCCCTGCATCTGCCCCCCCCCTTCCCAACCAGTGGGCGATGAGGACGAGGATGTGGACAGTACCTTTGACGAGGACGACGACAACGCGGGGGATGACTCAGCGCCGCTAGAGACAGGAGGACGGGAGGACGGCACCCCAGACCTCCCTCTCCCCCTGCCCTCCCCCCAACAACCTTGCCTTTGTGCCCCTTCCCACTGCTGTCCCTCCATCTCCCCCTCTACAGTGGGCGATGAGGACGAGGATGTGGACAGTACCTTTGACGAGGACGACGACAACGAGGGGGACGACTCAGCGCCGCCAGGGACCGGAGGAGGGGGCGGGACGATGAAGGAGCCTCGGTTCACGTCGACGGTGCGGGATACGGATGAGGACGAGGGGGACACGGACAGCGACTGCAACGACGAGTTCTATGAGGCGATGGACGAGTTCGCGGGGCAGGGCATGGTCAAACGCGTGCTGGATATTGAGGAGGTGAGATGCTTGGAGGGAATGGCGAAGCGTGATTGGGGCCCTGGGGGGGGGTGGGGGTGGGGGGAGGATCGGGAGTGGGAGGAGAGGGCTTTGAGCAGCGGGACATGGTCGAGAACGAGGGGGATAAGGACAGTGACTGCAACGACGAGTTTCAGCTCCGTAACTTCCCTCTCCCTCCTCCCCTCCAACGCTTCCCTCCTCCCCTCCCCCGCTTCCCTCCTCCCCTCCCCCGCTTCCCTCCCTCCCTTCCCCCCTCCCAGGAGGGTTTCTCCTACCCTCACGTCCCCGGGAGGTAGCGTCTGCCCGACCCCATGGAGGAGGAGAAGCCTCTGAACCTGTGGTCGGTGCTGAAGGAGTGCATGCGGAAGGACATGTTCAAGGTGTCGCTGCCAGTCAACTTCACCAGGTGCTGAAGACGCTGACCTGCCCTCCCTCCCCCCCACCCTCCCATCCCTCCCTTCCCCAGGTTGGTTTTTCCTACCCGCATGTGCCAAGACGCGTGCGTCTGCCCGACCCCATGGAGGAGGAGAAGCCTCTGCGCCTGTGGTCGGTGCTCAAGGAGTGCATGCGGAAGGACATGTTCAAGGTGTCGCTGCCAGTCAACTTCAACCCCTCTCCCTCCTTCCATCCCTCCCCCCTTTCCGACGCTCCCCCCACCAGGTGGGTTTCTCCTACCCCCACATTCCGCGCAGGCAGCGTCTGCCGGACCCCATGGAGGAAGAAAAACCGTTAAGCCTGTGGTCGGTGCTCAAGGAGTGCATGGGGAAGGACATGTTCAAGGTGTCGCTGCCAGTCAACTTCAACGAGCCGCTCAGCTCCAGCCAGAAGTACCTCGAGATGCTCGAGTACTCGTGGCTGCTGGACCGGGCAGCAGAGTACGGAAGACGGGTGAGTGGGTGGTTGGGGAAATGGCAGGGGACAGGGCAGGGACAATGCTGGTAACCAGGTAACCACACGTTCAAGGTGTCGCTGCCAGTCAACTTCAATGAGCCGCTCAGCTCCAGCCAGAAGTACGTCGAGATGCTCGAGTACTCGTGGCTGCCGGACTGGGCAGCAGAGTACGGAAGACGGGTGAGTCAGGATGTACCCCCCCCCCTTACACACACACATGCACGCACATACACACGCAGATACGCCCTCACAACCCCCCATGCACACACCCAAGAGCAAGGGAAGAGGGGTAATATGGGAAGAGAGCACAGAAGTGAAGAGAGCACAAAAGTGAAGAGAGCACAACATTTCCCTTCTCCATCGCCCCTTCTCGCTCTCTCCCAAGCAGGGCAACCGGCTGATGAGAGCAGCACACGTGGCGGCATTTGCAGTGTCGCGGTATTCGGGCAACGACGGGCGCATGCACAAGCCATTCAATCCGCTGCTGGGGGAGACAACTGAAGGGGACTATCCCGACAAGGGCATTCGTTACATCTCAGAATCTGTGAGTTGCATCTCTGAGTTGCATCTGTGAGTTGCATCTGTGAGTTGCATCTGTGAGTTGCATCTGTGAGTTGCATCTGTGAGTTGCATCTGTGAGTTGCATCTGTGAGTTGCATCTGTGAGTTGCATCTGTGAGTTGCATCTGTGAGTTGCATCTGTGAGTTGCATCTGTGAGTTGCATCTGTGAGTTGCATCTGTGAGTTGCATCTGTGAGTTGCATCTGTGAGTTGCATCTGTGAGTTGCATCTGTGAGTTGCATCTGTGAGTTGCATCTGTGAGTTGCATCTGTGAGTTGCATCTCTGAGTTGCATCTGTGAGTTGCATCTGTGAGTTGCATCTGTGAGTTGCATCTGTGAGTTGCATCTCTGAGTTGCATCTGTGAGTTGCATCTGTGAGTTGCATCTCTGAGTTGCATCTGTGAGTTGCATCTGTGAGTTGCATCTGTGAGTTGCATCTCTGAGGTGCATCTGTGAGTTGCATCTGTGAGTTGCATCTGTGAGTTGCATCTGTGAGTTGCATCTGTGAGTTGCATCTCTGAGTTGCATCTGTGAGTTGCATCTGTGAGTTGCATCTGTGAGTTGCATCTCTGAGGTGCATCTGTGAGTTGCATCTGTGAGTTGCATCTGTGAGTTGCATCTCTGAGTTGCATCTGTGAGTTGCATCTGTGAGTTGCATCTCTGAGGTGCATCTCTGAGTCGCAGGGTTGCATCTGAAAGTTAATTAGCTAGACTTGAAGATCGAGTTGCAAACACTCGAGTTGAACTCATTTCCTCACTCTTCCCTCTTCTCTTCTCCCTCTCCTCCTTTCTCTCATCTTTTCCCCTTCACAGGTGGTGCACTATCCGCCAATGATAGCCTGGCACGTGGATGGCACAGGCTGGAAGTTCTGGGGGGACGTGTGCCCCAAGATTCGATTCTGGGGGCCGTCCATCCAGCTGGACCCCGTGGGCGTGCTGACAGTGCAGTTCGACGACGGGGAGACGTACGAGTGGAGCAACGTGAGTGTAACGAGTGTGGAATAAAAGAAGGTTCAGGTTACTGTACCTATGAGATGTCATCCTGGGGTACTGGGCGTGCTGACAAAGCTGTTTGACGATGTGGAGACTAGTTTTGAGGCGCCTCAAAACTAGACTCCTGCTGGACCGGGTGGGCGTGCTGACAGAGCTGTTTGACGACGTGGAGACTAGTTTTGAGGCGCCTCAAAACTAGACTCCTGCTGGACCAGGTGGGCGTGCTGACAGAGCTGTTTGACGACGTGGAGACGTACGAATGGAGCAACTATGAGCTGTGATTCCGGGGTTCTGGGGGCCGCCCGTCCAGCTGGACCCCATGGGCGTGCTGACGACTGGGAGACATTCGAGTGGAGCAGTGTGAGTGCGAGTGGTTCTTGGGGAAGCCGTTCCTGGAGCACTACGGCACGCCCCCCCCCTACACCTCCCCCCATCCACCTCTCAGGTGACGGTGCTGATTCAGAATCTGATTCTGGGGAAGCCATTCGTGGAGTGCTCTGATACCATGTCTCCACTCAATTCATCACATTCTTCTCCTCCCCCTCGCCGACCTGATTCCCCCCCCCCCCTTGCCCCAGGTGACGGTGCTGATTCAGAACCTCATTCTGGGGAAGCCGTTTGTGGAGCACTATGGCACAATGCGCATCAAGGGTAACCGGGGGTACTCGGCTCGGCTGCGGTTCAAAGAGCGGTCCACTTTCGATAGAAACCCGCACCAGGTACAGTAATGTGGTACACACACCAGTAGAAAAGCGCGCACTGGGAAGCTCACATCAGCACCAGAGAGGGGACCCATAAACGAAATGATTGAGAACGTTTTTTGTGCTCAAATTTGATGCATTGTTGTTTTGAATACACTCGCACGTTTCTCTCCTTCTCCCCTCGATTTCCACAGGTCCGTGGATTGGTGCAGAACGAGGCAGGGGATGAGCAGGGGACCCTGATGGGGCGGTGGGACCAGCACATGCACTACGTGCCAGGGGACCTGACGAGCAAGTCGGCCAAGGAGGAGAGCGAGGTGCTGGCGACTGCCCAGCTGATCTGGAAGAAGAACCCAATCCCACCCAACATGAAGTACAAGTTCACGCCCTTTACAATCACGCTCAACGAGCTCACTCCGCAGCTGAAGGTGAGTCGGCATGACTGTTCCTTCCCTCGGAGAAGTGACACTGGCGATGGCACAGCTCATGTGGGAAAAGAACCCCATCCAGCCGAACATCAAGTACAAGTTCACGCCCTTCACAATCACGCTCAACGAGCTCACTCCCTGGCTCAACGTGTGTGTGGCTTTCCTTGAGGTTGTTATTGCTGTATCTTTGCACCTCTTACCCTCCCCATCTCCACCCTCTCCACCCTCCTCACCACCTTCTTCCCCCCCACCCTCCTCTTCCACCTCAGGCCTGTCTGCCCCCTACAGACTCCCGCCTTAGGGAGGACCAGAGGGCACTGGAGGAGGGGCGATACGACTTTGCCAACCAGGAGAAATGCCGACTGGAGCAGCGGCAGCGCAAGGTATGCCCTGCATAGTCCCACTCTGTTGTGTGTGGGTAAAGTACACCAACACGTGATTCAAGTCGCCAAGTCTTGAACCAGGAACGCCTTTTTTAACCCTCTTTCTCATTCTCTTCATTCTTTGCCCGCCCTTGAGACCTGGGAAGGAAATTGGTCACGGTGTGTGTGTGTATTCTCATCATTAGTAACAGTGTGCTACCACCCCATGCCTCTTAAGGTAACTCACTGGGACTCCTGCTCCTCTCCACCATACCCCCCTCCCTTCCAGGCGCTGAAGGATGGCGAGCCAGGGTGGGGCCCACGGTGGTTCAAGCCCGCAGGGCCAAACAACACGTGGATGTACACTGGGGGCTACTGGGAAAAGCGGGAGAAGAGGGAGTGGTCCGATGTGCTGGACCTCTTTGCACCAGAGGAGACTGATGGGAATTGCTAACAAGCTGTTGAATCACACATTCGTTTGTCACATCCTGGAGAACGTTCAGGCGTCAATAGAAGCGATAGTGCGCGGTGCCAGGTTATTTCAACTATAGGTTCTTTGAAGGACAATACACTTGGGAGTGTGTGGGCATGCTGCGTCTGACTGTAGCCGTGCCCGGAATTATGGGAAGAACATATTAGGCACGATGTGTGCCTAGTGTAGGTTAGATGTTGACCCATCATCCATAAGTTGCAATAATTGCACAACATATATTTAGTATTTTACATCTAACCACAACTCTATGGGACAAGTATTTTGCGTCACTGTACAGACGCAATGTGTCGGAACAGCGTGGAATAGCAAGCATTGCTCAGTGGGCGGGAGAGTGCTGCTGACATGACAAGGGACCAACATGGCGGGGCGGTCCAGCAAAACGCCACTGCGGAGCAGCAAGAGCAGTCGTCGTCATTGTCACGTCAGCGCCACAGCAGGGGAATCACAGAATTTTCGAAACACGCGATGCTCTCTGTTGTGTCAGCTTCCGCGCCAATTCAGTTGACTGAAGAAACTGAAGGACCAGGAAACGGCCTTCGTTTCAGTCACACATCGGCCATGTTCAGAGGTTTGACGCATAGCCGTTGCCAGCAGTTCCCGCGGATGAAAACCCCCCATTTTCTCGTCCAATCCCTGTCAAGTAGACGCTGATGGCCCTGGGTTTCTTCCACCGACACTCCCTCAGGCGCAGCTCGGTTATTCGCGATTTATATGTTTCGGGAACGGTAGCCCTTTCAAAGCCCCAAGTCTCGCCACGGCCTGATGGTGGAGGGGGGACCCAACGCCTTCCCATCCCACCTCATCGCACCCCACCCCACCAGCACCACCAGTCCATCATCACCCAGCCACTGGCACCATTCTCTCAAGCCACTGGCACCAACCATCACGCAACGCAATGGTGCTGCAGATTCTAGCAGGCCCGCCCTTTTGTTCCGTACCTATTGCCGTGTGGGAAGAAAAGGTTTCTTCTTTTCTGGAAGGAGAGCAGTAGTGGAAGAAGGTTCTTTCCAGGAATCACCTCGTGCTCATGGCAGTTTCCGCTTCGTCCGGCTCTTGTGCTGCGGCCGACGCTCGGCTCGGTTGCTCTTGTCGTCGTAGCGTACGGACCTGAACGATTTTGGTAGAAGCCCTCACTGTCGACCTAAAGCCACGTTTTGGGTTCCTGTGCCCTCTTTCAACTTGCAGGCTCCTCGTGCAGACCATTAAAAATACCAAATCGTATATTTTTTCTCAGTTATTTTTTTATTTCTTTCTTTCGTGTTTCTGCTTTTCTGAGGGTTTGTCCGCGACATCGAAGTCCTCGCTTAGTGTTTCCATAGACATTTTACAATGTCGTCGGATCCCGACGAGCCGAGCAACAAGTCCGTGAAGGAGCTCAGCAGCATCTTCGGAAAACGGGTCACGGCTAATACCGGAGCTCCAGCTGCTTACGTGGCGAAACTCCACGCAGCCAATGCGAGCGCAGGCTCTTCCGGCGACCCGCCAAAAATCACGCGGAGATCCTCTGGACCGGTTTCCACCGAAGGCTTAATCCGCCACCCTTCAGGCGGGATTCAGAGTCCGCAGTCTCAGGACGGAAATGCTTCGGAATCTAAGCGAGATTTTAAGGATGAGACTAAAGGACCGGTACCTGGCCGTTCAGGTCTCCGGCCGGTTGGGACTAGCACAGGCAGCGGTAAAGGCCCGCGACCATCGTCAGGCGATGGCTCGAAAGGTCCTTCTTCCTCCTCCTCCTCATCGTCCTCGTCCTTTTTACCCCAGGTTAAGCTCCGTCACACGGCGACAGGACCACCTGGAGGAAAGAAAGACGCACCGGCAGAGAAAAAAGACTCACCTGCGGGGAAAAAGGAGTCCGCTGCAGGAGCAAAAGACGCAGCTGCGGGGGTGAAAGACTCGCCGTTGGTGGGGTCGTCCGCTGCTTCGATCAGGGACGGAAAGAAAGAATTGCCGCGTTCGCCTCGGCATTCCCGAACCAAGTCTAGCAGCCGCGCAGGTGCCGAGCCTGAGCCGCTAGGCCTGGCTTCCCCTGGCTCGACTGCCAGGGCTGCTGCTGCGAAATCGTCGCCGGTGCAACGGTCGTTTTCGCCGGGCGGGAACTACACGCGAGAAGAGATTCGTAAGGTGCGTGGGGTGAATTTTGAGCCGTCTCATAATGAACCGACTTTCTCGTTGAACGGGAACTACACAAGAGAGAGAATCCGTAAGGTACGCAGGGAGGAATCTGCAAGAGGAAAAAGTGATCGCAAGAGGAAATGAAATGTCTGTGTGCTTCTCGCCCGCACCCCCACCTCCCCCACCCTCCCACCGCCAACCCTTTCCCCACATTCAACAGATGGAGACGATGTTGCGCTAGTTCGAGGAGGACCTCGAGTTGAGCAACTTCGAGCTGGCGGCGCTGCGAGCGAGGCACCACCCTATTGCTCCATTCCCCTTCTCCTCTCCCCCTCCCTTCCCCTCCCTTCCCCTCCCTTCCCCTCCCTTCCCCTCCCTTCCCCTCCCTTCCCCTCTCTTGCCTCTCCCCCTACCCCTCCAGATGGAGGTGATGCTGCACAAGTTCGAGGAGGACCTGGAGCCGAGCAACCACTGCCTTGTTGCTCATTTCCACCTTTTCTCATTACCGCCGCCCCCTCCCCTCCCCTCCCCTCCCTTCCCCCCCCCCACGCCGACCACTCCCTCAGATGGAGGCGATGCTGCACTAGTTCGAGGAGGACCTCGAGCCGAGCAACTTCGAGCTGGCGGCGCTGCGGGCGCGGCACCACCCTGATGGCCTATTCCCACTCTCCCCGCCCCTCACCACACCCTCCCCTCCTCCCCCTCCCCACCCCAATTCTGCTAGATGGAACAAATGCTGCACAAGTTCGAGGAGGACCTGGAGCTGAGCAACTTCGAGCTGGCGGCGCTGAGGGCGCGGCACATGGAGAAGGTGGGGCGGCTGCAGGTGGTGGAGGAGGAGATCGTCATCAGCGAGCAGCGCAACAAGAGCCTGCAGGTAGGCTCGGCTTAGGTTCGGAGTAGGTTCGGATTAGGCTCGGAGGGGTGCTGAGGGCGCGGCGGCTTCAGGCGGTAGAGGAGGAGATTGTCATTGGCGAGCAGCGGAACAAGAGCCTGCAGGTGCGTCGGCTGCTGGGTTAGTCTTAACCTAGGGATGGGGTTTGGGTGGGACGGGACTGCAAATGAGGTGGTTAGGGCTGGGAACGGCTGTAGGTGGGGGAGGAGGAGATCGTCATCGGCGAGCAGCGGAACAAGAGCCTGCAGGTGGGGGGGGTGAAGACTGGGGTAGGGTCAGGCGTGGCGTAGGGGTGGCTTCGGGTTAGGAGCTGTAAAGTGGGTGGGTTAGGGCTAGGAACAGCTGAGTACCTGGGGTTAAAAATCGATAAAGAAGACGAGCAAGTGCCTATGTCGGCGTGATGTGGGAATTTATTCGTGGGTATGTGATGAGATGAGTGTGTGATTCATGGGTATGTGATGAGATGAGTATGTGATGAGATGAGATGAGTATGTGATGAGGGTTTGAGGCGCGACCAGGAACCAGTGCTGTGCTGCTAATGAGGCCCCTTTAAAGGCATCAGCAGCTCAAGAAGATTGTTGCAGCCTCATCAACCTCTTTATGGGCCTCACCACCCCCTCCCCCTCTTTCCTCCCTTGTCCCCTCTCCTCCCCTTCCCCCTCCTCCATCCCCTCCTCCACCCGCTCTTTTGTGTCTCTCTTAAGAATCTCTTCCCACCCCCCCCCCGATTTGCTTGCTCTGGCTGCTGCGAAGGAAGAAGGATTTGTGAATTCTGGTTCAATGAAGTGACCTTTGAGTCGACTCACAACTCATGGTTCCTACTGTGTCCATTTTTTAGGCGCCTCAAAAATAAACTCATGGTTCCTACTGTGTCCCCCCTCCCCCCTCTCTCCAGGAGTTGGACTCAGCTTGCTCTGGCAGCCATGGAGAAGGAGTTAGCCTATTCGGACTCAGTGAGGGCGACGCTAAGTGCACTTTGAGTTGACTCAGAACTCCTTCTTTCTCTGCTCTGTCTTTTATCCCCCCGGTCAGCTTGCTTTGGCGGCCATGGAGAAGGAGTTAGCCAATTCGGACTCGATGAAGGCGAAGCTAAGGAAGAAGCTGGAGGACGAGCAGGCGGGTAAGACAGAGGAAGCCGTCCGGGCAGCCCTCGAAAAGATTGAGGCAGAGCAGGTGGCGCCGTTGAAGGCCGAGGTTGAGTCTCTCCGGGCAGCTGCGGAAGTTTTGACGGCTGACCTGGCGGCTGCCCGGGCTGCCCGGGAGGCGAAAGAAGCGGAGCTGTTGGGTGCGGAGGCTGCGAATGAGAAGGTTGGCGGGCAATTGAGTGAGGAAGAGGCGAATCACAAGGTGACACGTGGCGAGTTGGAGGTGGCAAGGGAGGAGGTGAAAAAGGCGCAGAAAGAGGCTGAAGAGGCGGAAAAGGTACTGGACGAGCTTAAAACGAAGCACGAGGAGGCTTGTAGCGAGTTGGAGGGGTTACGGGGGACGCATAAAGGGACGTGCGAGGAGCTCGAAGCGCTAAAGATAGAGATAGAGTCTCTTAAGGGGGAGAATAAAGAGGTAAGTGAGGAGCTGGGAGCGGTTAAGGGGAAGTGGGAGGCAAGGGGGAAGGAAATAGCGGTTCTGGTAAAGGAGAAGGGGGAATTGGAAGGTGAGTTGGAGGGTTTGAGAGGGAAGTATGAGGAGCGAGGGAGGGAGCTGGAGCAACTGCAGCTGCTGCATGATAAGACGAATAACGAGCTGCACGTTATGGAGGATGAAAATGAGAAGCTTCAGAAGGAGGTGGAGGGGCTTAGGGGCGAAGTGGAAGGGTTGAAAGGGGAGAAGGCGGAGGCGGAGGGAGAGATAGAGATGTTGAAAGAGAGTGGTGAGGAGATGAGTAGAGAGATAGAGGAATTGAAAGGGAAGAATGAGGAGAGGAGTAAGGAGGTGGAGGAGTGGAAGGAGAAGCATGAGGGGTTGGGTAGGGAGTTAGAGGAGGTTAGGAGTGCGAAGGAGGAGGAAATACAGGCAAAGGAAGGAGAGTTACAGGCGAAGGAGGAGGCGAGAAGGGAAGCCGTGAAAGAAGGGGAGAGTTTGAGGGAGAAAGTAGCAGAGGCGGAAGGGCAGGTGGGGGAGCTGCAGGGGAGGATGGAGGGACAGGCGAAGGAGATTGAGGGTCTGTCGGGGGAGCTGGAGGAACGCAAGGAGCAGCTAGCAGCGGCAGAGGGGCAGGTGAGGGAGCTGCAGGGGAGGGTAGAGGGGCAGGCGAAGGAGATTGAGGGTTTGAAGGGGGAGCTGGAGGAAGAGAGCAAGGGGAAGGGGGAGGCAGAGGCGGCTTTGGCGGCGGCTAATGGGGAGATAAAGGAACTGAGGGAGAGGATTGGGGGGTTGGAGGGGGAAGTGGAGGAGGAGAGGCTGGGGAAGAGGACGGTTGAAGGGGCTCTGGCGGTGGCTACTGGGGAGGTGGCTGTATTGGGGGAGAAGGTGAGGGGACTGGAGGAGGAGGTGGAGAGAGAGAGGGGAGTGAGGGAGGGGGTTGAGAAGGAGCTTGAGAGTGTGAGGGGGGAGAGGGATGAGGTGGCGAGAGAGAGAGAGGAGGTGGGGCGGCAGTTGGCGGAGGTGGGGCGGCAGTTGGCGGAGGTGGGGCGGCAGTTGGCGGAGGTGAGAGGGGAGAAGGAGGAGTTGGAGGGAGGGTGAAGGAGTTGGAGGGGAGGGTGAAGGAGTTGGAGGGGAGGGTGGAGGAGATGGGGTTGGAGAAGGAGGCTCTGGAGCTGGAAAAGGCGGAGGAGGAAAGGTTGGTGAAGGAAGCGATTGCGGCGAGAGAGGGGGTTGAGAAGAAGCTCCTGGAGGCACGAGGGGAGGTGGAACAGAGGAGGAGGGAGGTTGAGGAGGTGACTACAGCGAAGGTTGCGTTAGAAGGGGAGTTGGAGAAGGTGAGGGGGGAGTCGGAGGAGAGGGGGAGGGAATTGGACGAGCTGAAAGGGAAGTATGAGGTCGTGATGTCAGACAACCAGGCGCTGATGTCAGCGCAGGCAGCGCTGGCGGGTAAGATCGAGGAGGTGACTGTAGCGAAGGAAGGGTTGGCTAAAGAGCTTGAGGACATGACTATAGCGTTGGAAGGGTTGGGTAAAGAGCTTCAGGAGGAGAAGGAGGGGCGGGCGGCTGTAGCTGCTGAGCTGGCAGAAACGAGTGCTGAGCTGGATGGGATCCATGCTGCGCTGGGTGGATCCCATGCTGAGCTGGACGGAGTCCGTACTGCGCTGGAATCGCTGACTGCCATGCACGAGTCCCTTCAGAAAGACCATGATGCGCTTAAGGAGCGGAATAGTGAGATGAAGAGGGATCTCGAGAGTAAGTCTGGCGAGGCGGGCGGGCTGGTTGAGGAGATCAACAAAGTGAGGGAGGAGAGGGATGAGGGGAGGAAGAGGGAGGAGGAGGGGAGGAAGAGAGAGGAGGAGGGGAAGAAGAGAGAGGAGGCGCTAGCTGCAGACTTAGAGCAGGTGCGAGGGGAGGTTGAACGGCTAAAGGGAGAGCTGGAGGCGGCAGGGAAGGAGAGAGAGGATTTGAAAGGGAAGCTTGCTGCTGCTGTAGCCGGCCTTGCAGCCGCCGAGGCTGCGGCATTGGCTCGGGAGGCTGAGGCCGCAGAGGCTCGGGCCGTACTGGAGGGGGAGGTGGACAAGACGAAGGGGCAAGTAGAAGCGTTGGAGAAAGAGAGAGAGGGGTTGAAGGGGGAGATGGAGCGGGCGAGCAAGGAAAAAGATGCGTTAGTTGCTGCCCATGCTGCTGCTTTGGCTGAGCTGGTTGCCGCTAAGGGAACGGTGGAGGAGGAGGGGAGGAGTTGGCAGGAGAAGCATGAGCAGGCGGTTAGGGAGATAGAGGGAGTGAGAGAGGAGGCGGAGGGGAAGCAGAAGGAGCTTTTGGCTCGGGCCGAAGCTGCAGAGGTTCGGGTGGGGGAGCTGGAGCAGGCTCGGGACGAAGCTGTGGCTTTTGTTGGGAAGACCCAGGCTGCTTTGGAGGCTGCGAATGAGGAGATTGTGACTATAAAGGGGGAGATGGAAAAGAGGGGAGGGGAAGTGAAGGAATTAAAGGAGGTATTGGAAAGGGAAAGGGGCGAGAAGGAGGAGTTGAGTGCAGAGAACGAGCGGCTGAAAGAGAAAGTGGAGGCGCTTATAGAGGGGATGGATGGAACCAAGGACGGAATGACTGCTGAAGTGAACGCACATGAGAAGACAAGGGAAGAGCTGGGGGAAGTGAGAAAGACCCTTTTGAGTGTGCAAGGCGAGTTAGAGGGAGTGAGAAGGGAGCTGGAGGAGAGTGAGGAGGGGAGGAGGGAGGCCGAGGAGGATCTAGAGGTGGCTCATGCGGCTGAGGCGGCGGCTAGGGCTGAGGCTGCAGCGGCGTCGGCGGCTGCAGTGGCGACAGCAGCAGCTAAGGACGGCGAGCTGGCAGAGAAAGAGAGGGAGCTGGGGCAGGTGAGGGAGGAGCTGGGGCAGGCGAAGGGTGACGTGGCGAGGCTAGAAGCGGAGATTCGTGAGAAAGAGGAGAGGATATCGGTACTGGAAGGGGAGGTTGTAGAGAAAGGGGAGAGGGTTCTGGTGTTGGAAGGGGAGGTCCTAGAGAAAGGAGAGAGGATTGTGAGGTTGGAAGGGGAGCTGAAGGAGGCTCGGGTGAGCGCAGAAGCAAAGGAGGCTGCTGCTGCTGCTGTGAGGGAATCGGCGAGAATGTCGGAGGGAGAGGCACAGAAGAAAGTGCAGGAGCTGATGGGTAGGGTGGAGGGGATGGAGAGGGAGAGGAGGGAGGGGGAGGAGCGGGAGGAGGGGTTGAGGGAGGAGGTGAGGGCGGCCAAAGAAGCGGAGGAGGAGGCACGGGAGGGGGCTAGGCTGGCGGCGAGTAGAGGGAGTGAGATGGTGGCGGTGATGGAAGGGGAACTGGAGGAGGTGAGGGGGAATTTGAAGGAGAGAGAGGAGGAGGTGGAGCGAGTGAGGGAGGAGGTAGAGAAGGTGAGAGGGGAGTGGGCGGCGGATGTGGAACGGATGGGAAGAGAGAAGGAGGAGGCTGTCGGGAAGCTCGAGAAGGAGAAGGAGGAGTTGGTGAGCAAGATGGAGCAGGAAAAGGGCGCTTTAGAGGAGCTAGTGAGGACGCTTACAGAGAGGATGGGAGACATGGAGGAGGCGAGGAGTGGGTTGGAGGAGACTAGCAGGAAGCTGGCAGGGAGGGTCGAGGATCTAGAGGGGGAGAGAGATAGATTGGAGGAGGAACGAGGCAGACTGGAAGGGGAGAGGGGGGTACTGGAGGAGGGAAGGCAAGCCATGGTTATACGAGTGGAGGGGTTGGAAGCGGTTAAGAGGGAGTTGGAGGAGAAAGCGGCAGGGATGGAAGGGGAGAGGGGAGGATGGAGGAGGAGTTGAGGACGGAGAGGGAGAGGGTGAGAGAGCTGGAGGGGGAGGCAGAGATGAGGATGGCTGCGGCACTGGCATCGTCTGCTGCTGTGGCGGCGGGGGGGGAGAAGCAGATCAGACAGGCACGGGCAGAGAGGGAAGCTGCTCTGGCTGAGAAAGCAGCCGCGGAAGCGGCGCAGAGAGCAGCAGAGGCTGCAGCAGAGGAGGCGAGGAGCCGAGAGGGAGAGGCAAGGGCAGCGGCAGAGAATGCATTGTTGGAGGCTGGTAGGGCGAAGGAGGGTGAGGAGTTGGCTCGGACCGAAGCTGCAGAAGCTTTGCAGGGTGCAGAGGCAGCAAGAGCCGAGGCTGCCGAGGCCAGACTAGCAGCGGACACCGCTCTGGCCGAGGCTGCAGAGGCTAGGGAGCGTGCAGGCGAGGTGGAGGGGGAGTTGGAAGCGGTGCAGAGGGAAATGGAGGTGTTGAGAGTGTCAGAAGCAGCAGCTAGATCTGCGGCAGAAGAGGCCAAGGTAGGGGGGTCTGTTCGGCTGGCGGCTAGTTTGTGGAGAGCCAGGGTGAATCAGGGCAGCTTGGAGAGAAAGTGGAAGGAAGGGGAGGAGAAACGGCGAGCCAAGGATGCTGCTGCTGCTGCGGCAGCAGCGGGGGCGGCAGCTGCGGCAGCAGTGGCAGCGGCCGCAGCAGAAGCGGAGAAAGACAGGGTGGTAATAGAGAAGGGAAAGATGGAGGCGGAATTGTCTGCTAAGGTGGCTGCTGTGGAGGGAGAGCTGAAGACGGCTCGGGATGCCGAAGGGGAGCTCCGGCTGCAGGTTCGGGCGCTCCGCCGAACCTTGGATGCTCTGGAAGGCGAGGTTCGGAAGTGGAGGGAGGAGGCTAAGATACGGAAGAAGCGGAGTGAAGAGGCAGCAGCTGACACGCTGAGGAAGTGGCGGGAGGTGGCTGGGAGGAGCAGTGTGGAGGAGAATGCTGCAGAAACTGCAGCTGGTGCTGCTGCTGCTGCTGCTGGTAGTGATGCTGCTCCTTCTGCGGCAAGGATGTTTCCAGGAAGGAGCTCGTCGTACACCATGGCAACTAACCGCACCAGTTTGCCCTCCATTCCCACGTCAGGGGCTCTGGCGGGGGGGCCAGGCGATGCTAACGAGGTTATGTTTGCCAAGAGTGCGGAGTTTCACCCAGGTCAGCTGCGGGCGATTCGGCATTTTATGAGTGCAGGCCAATCGGGCCCATCATCTGCGGTTGCTACACCCCGGGGCGGACCCGCATCGGCTACAGGAACTCCGCCTCCTTCCCTGAGGGCATCCATGGGGTTACCGGCTCCGGTGAGGATTAAGAGACTCGAGGGAGAAGGAACAGGTCGGCGTGGAACATCAGGGAACAAGCCTGGATGGAGGAAGTCTATGATAGGATTTTTAGGGAAAAAGGCGGTGAAGAGTGAAGCGAACACCCCTCGTGGCACGGACGTTTCTCAGAGTGCCATCTTTTAGATCGGTTGTTAGTGTTTGATAGGCTAAGGAAAAGGGTTCGTTTTCATCAACCAGAATAACGGGAAACGTTCATTTCACGGCCATGTACTATCTGTTTTATTTGAGTGCGTCGCACAGTAACGGATCTTGTCCTGGCACGAATCAGCGATGCACAAAGGCTGCAAGGGAACAGCAGCAGCGAATCGCAGCAGCACCGCGGGTCGTGGTCGCACGTCGCACAGAGCGGGAAAGCTCGGCAACATCCATGCACTAGCTTCTCGACACGTGGAAAGAACTGTATTCTTCCGAAGTCCGTTCACCACAGTGCGCCTCTTCCGCAACTCCCCCCATCACCTTCCCCCATACGGCATATGCCTTTGCCAGATTTCCGCGGGTCCCTGGTGGTGGGTTCCGCGGGCAAGATGCGGCTGTTGTAGTGACCAGGCGGGCGGAAAGGCTGGTTCTTGTGCCGAAAGCGGCGGGGGCTCTCCGCAACTTTCCCGCGCTTCCCGTGCTTTTCCCACTTTCCCCCCGCCCGCACTCCGCCCTTCTCCCCCCATCCCTTCCCCTCGCGTCTGCCCCTCACCAACCTTTCCCTCTCAGCCCAACGACTATCCCACCTCTACTGCAGTTGGAGCATAGTTTTCCGTGTTTTCCTGCTTCCAGCTCTGCTCTAGGAACTGTTAGGCTACGTCCTTAGAACGTTCTCCTGCAACGTTTGTGTTCCGACTGCGTGTAGTGTTCCTACCAGTCGATGCTCTTCTCTAGGGTGGCACAAGGTTGTAAATTACGTCATTTCCGGGGTTGTTGAGAAGTCGTGGTGTAGAGGCGTCCACTGCGTTTTTTAGGGTTACGCCTTCCATTTCTCTCCTGAGTTTGAAGGCTCGTCCAGAAGATGGCGGTACGTTTTTCTTCAACATCCCCTCATTACTGTCTCCCGGAAAGTTGAACCATCTAAGTGTGCCAAGGTCTTGTCTTGGGGTGTGGCTGGCTTCATCAATATCATATTCTTCGTCTTCGTTTCCGATCTGGAAACTCCCCCCCTCCCCACCCCCCCTCCCCTCTCGATTTCGACCTGTACTCTCGCGACTCCAAGTTCTTCGTTTTCAAAGCCCGTCTCCACCTCGCATTTTCCGTCTCCCCACATGACCCGAATCACCCCACCGCCGTGTCCACCTCCTTGACTCATCCGTACGTCCCCCCCACCGAACTAATCTTGCAACCATATCCCCCCCCCTCCATCCCTCCCATCGTCTGAAATCCCCTGCTCCCCGTATTCGCGTTTTTCTCCGCGCAGTCGGAGGGCGGGATGCCGCCAACCGGGGGAGGTGGCAAGAAGGGTGGAGGCGGGTTCACGGCGCAATTTAGAGACGTCAGCTCAGGCGGGGGGGGTCCCGGCATTCCCGGAGCCCCACAAGACGAAGGTCAACAAAGATGCTCCTCCTGAGGTAAGCTTCCCCTCCTGAGTTAAGTTTCTCCCCCTGAGGTAAGCTTCTCCTCCTGAGGTAAGCCACAACGAACTAAGATCTCGCCAAGGTTGATCAGGCAGCTTTCCTTGGGGTGAGAGGCTTCTCCTCCTGAGGTAAGCCACAACGAACTAAGATCTCGCCAAGGTTGATCAGGCAGCTTTCCTTGGGGTGAGAGCTGCCGATACGGTACTACTTTGCTAATCCCGCCCTAGGTATCGGACGCCCTTGAATTGGAATGAAGCGAAGACTTAGAATCGAATCTCGTGATTCGTGGTCATTTCCGGTCGTTGGACTGGACATGCGAGCCTCAGAAACTCTCTTGCTCGACACTGAAGGGATGCATGCACGGTGTAGGTAGAGTTCACTTGCGCTGTTTCCGGAAACTCAACCCATCAGCGAGCTTACAGGCGGTTTCCTTGTCCTCCATCACTTCCTCCTCCTGTCTATTCTGATTCTCGCCATTTTCTTTTGCAGTTTTTGGATTTCATGTTTTACCTTCTTTGCCTGAGCTGATGTGGCCTCTCCATCTCATCTTACTGTTTTGCCGTGGCAGCCGGAGAAGGCCAAGTGTGGATGCGTCATACTCTAACCCCCATAGCACGCACTGAACTCTGCAATCTCGACCTTCCGTGTGTGCTATGGGCGAAGTGGAGTGGTGCTCGTGCTGGCTGAAGAGACAGATTTTTGGAGTGCTTGGGCGGATTGTTTTGTTGGCCCTCCCAAAAGTTGATGGGTGTCGGACTCAGTCAAGAGAAGCAGCATTTGCATGGAGCAGCTTCACAAGTGGCTGCATTATGGTTTTGAAAGTGGGTCCTCGGCATGGGTCTGCAGGACGGCTTTACTGTCGGGATAAGTTGAAGATGGATGGAACACCTCTGTTACTGAGCTTGTGAAATAGGGGTACTTCCAGGGTCGATTGAGGGAAAGCTTCGGCAGTTGTAGGTTTGGTAGGAAACAGCACTCCTGGCTGCTACTGGTGAACCAAAAACAGTTGCTATGTTACTAGGTTTTGTTGTTACATGCTTAGCGAAATGGTAGTTATTAATTAAACATGCTTAGGTGCTGTGCTGTGTAGTGCTCGTTGGTTGCTTGGGATTGGTGATGTTGAGACTTAAATAAAGATTCCCATCGGAATTGTTCTAATGGGTAGGTATGTAGTTCACTTGTGAAAGCAGGCATTTATGATGAGTGTTTTGTAACCCGCAGAACGCATTTTTACTGTGCCAACTGTAAAATTCTGAGCCCGAGAGAGCTATCGCGGGGAGTTTCTGGAGTCCGCTCAGACCACGTTGCACCCTAGATCGAGGCACAGGTATCGTGGAGGCCCTCGATTCCACGTCTTTCTGATCCAGCGCGGACACACAGAGGGTCCCCGTCGCTCCGTTGCAGCCACACGACACGGTTCCCAGCCTGGCGTGGAAGTCCACGTCGCCCTTCGACGCGGCCCATGTCGAGCCAATCCCAAAGCGAGCCAAAAACCAATCCCAAGGCGAAGCCAGCCGCCCTTGTTCCTCCAGTCGACCATCAACAACCTCATTGACTGTCATTCGCACCATTTTGTATTCACTATTCATTGGATAGTCACGTTGTAGTGTGTTGCGTTGGGAACTATACACGGGCTTGGGACGTAAAGAGGCTGGAGAAGTAGGAACTACTAGGTTCTGCCGCATCGTGTGCGCCGACCGTTCTAGCTCGTGCCTTTTCTGGCTTTTATTAATCGCGCTGTGTCAATTATGGCTGTCGTGGCCTCGCCCGCAGTTCCCGTCCGCCTCGGTGCGGGTGTCCCCGCATCCGCGCTCTCCGCCACGCCGCAGCGCACCGAATCCGCCGTAGTCGCCTCTCTCCGCGAATACCCACGCGTTGCTTCCCGCGCTTTCGCCAGGCGTCCCCGCGCGCTTACCAAGCGGCATCCACAGTCCCTATCGCGGCGCTACGCAGTGCGCACACGAGCAGCGGGAGACAATGAGCCGAAATCGAATCCCGAATCTGCGGATTCCGCAGCACCAGCGTCCAGCCGCCCAAGCAAGGCCGACGTCCCATTGGCTGATCCGGTCGCCGCCGACGAAACTGCGCAGCAGCTTCAGGCCGTGAAACAGCAGCAGCAGCAGGAAGCAAGCGAGCGAAGCTTCCCAGCAGCAGCAGCTGTCGCTTGAAGATGTTAACCCTGTCGATCTGGGCCGTCGATCCCGCCAGTTCCTCGACGATGTGTGGCGGAGATTTGATCCAACTGGGCCAGCTGGCGCGTCCGGCGCCGCAGGATGCGGAGGATTATAACGAGCTGGTGCGCGGGGGCTTGGACGCCGATTTCGGCGTTCCGAGCGCGCAATTCACGACTGTGCTTGTAGCGGGGGCGACGGGCCGCGTCGGGAAGGTGCTTGTAAGAAAGTTGCTCCTACGCGGGTACACCGTGAAAGCGCTTGTTGCGAAGCGCCGGACCCCGAGACGCTCGAGCAGCTGCCACGTTGCGTGGCCAGGTGGCAGTCGCTGATTTGGCAGACGAGGCGGCACTGCAAAAGGCGGTGGAGGGGTGCAATAAGGTCGTCTTCTGCGCCTCGGCTCGCTCCGCAATGGCCGCGGACCTCCAGCGCGTGGACCACATGGGCGTAGTTAATCTCTCCAAGGCGTTCCTAGACTATAATCACCACTTGGCGCAGCGGCGCGCCGGCCGCAGCAGCAAGAGCAAAGCGCTAGTGCTTCGACTTAGTAAGGAGCGGTACCAGGAGGGGTGGGAGTTAGGGGAGGGGCGGACTATTAAGGACGATATAGACCTCCGGTACGGGGCGGGAATGGATGCTGA